AAATGAAAAACGTAGCTCAGCTCTTGCAGTAGCCGTGACCTTCATCTGTGCTTGGAATGACCTCTTTGAAAACTCCGTGGCTCCACCCCCTTCTTTTCTTATGGCATTAAGTGTGGGGTAATGAAGGGAAGAAATAAAACTGAGCTGGCATTGCTGAGTCACTGCTGAGACTTGAGACTGGCTGACTTGGTGGTGGAGCTCCGCTCAAGGTGGAGGCACCACCCAGCTTTTGCAGGTAGCAGAAGGGATTAGCAGAGGGCTCACCTAGAGCAGGGTAGTAGGAAGACTGACTGAAAGGAGGTAAAGCAAAAGGAGAAAGCAGCTTTTCAGGGTGGCTTCTTAGAGTCCAGCTGGGGGCAAACAACATCTTTCAAAGCTTCTGCGCTCTTGCTAAATGCTAGGCCACTCAGGGCTGTATGGCAAGGGTCTTTTTTCCTCTGTTCTCTCCACCCTTTCAGTGCTCAACGTAAACCAAGAATTTCTGTGCCGTCTGGCATCTGGTTTCTCTCTGCTTCGGTACACTTAGGACATCTGGATGAGCTACTCCAAGCCTTCCGCTAAGGATTTGAGACCCCAGCCCGCGCCACTTCCCTTTCCACGGGACGACTTGGCTGGGGGACTGGAGACGGCAGCTGTGGCGTACGCCGTTTGCCTTTGCTGGCCTGTAGGCAGCGGAGTACTGGGAGCAAAAGAGACATTGGGAGCAAATTGGTCTTTCCTTTAATTGGACATTTCCTCTTGAGTCTTCTCCTCATTTTGCTGCTTATTCCTGGAGCAGTTTGCTGTTAAGCTGTGATAAGTATCCCATTCCCACTCCTTTTTCAAAGCTTCTGTGCCAGGAGACATTCGGGCTTGGAACGTGCGCGCTGCCTGCGGGATTGCCTACCTGGCAATTATTTGTGGTGTTTTGTATCCACTCATGGCTTTAACCTGCAAGTCCCTTGAGGCACAGGTTATGTGTTTTGTGTGGTTCACTGGGCAACCATAGAGCACTTCACTCCCCTGAGGGCATTACATAAAGTGCTAATAATGAAATCCTAGGAAATCTATTTGGAATTACAGACACGGGGATTTTCTCGTTGTCGTTTTGTACATTACCGCCAAATCTTTATGCAGTGCCATAAAGCTAATACTTAGCGTAATGAAAGACGTGTGTGTCTTTAAAACTCACCCAGGTCAAAATTATAGAGGCAACCATCACCAAAAAAAAAAAACAACAAAAAAAAAGGTAAGGGGGGAAGGGAAGCAGCCAAGAAGGGTGTGAAATGAAGGCTATGGTTTGCAAGGTGCAGCAGTCAAAGGGAGGCAAGAAAAGCATAGTACAAAACACAAAGGTCAGCTGTGGAAAGCAAGCCAAAGGAAATTTAAGTCTGGAGAGGGGTTTGAAGGTGGAAAGTGAGGCTCTTCACTCCCAGGGGAGGAAAGTAATGTAAACCCATGAGCAGTCTGGACAGGTACGGATGTGAAACACAAATAAACTAAATGTTTTCTCCTTTAATGCTTGGGAGATCAGAGCTGACTTGCCTATGAGCAGAAAAGCTGAGATAAGACCCTGACTGTGAGGGTACAAACTGTCTCAACGTCATGCAGCTATCTATCAGTTGTGAGGCGCAAGACCTGTCTCCTTCCCTTGGATAGTTGAGATTTTCTTTGGCATCGAAGCAGGCCTTGGTCATGTAGCTAGTGTACATGCTGATCGAAGCGATTCTCTCCTCAAATGGCTTGCTTGCCTGGGTTAAAACAGAGGGGTTGTTTTGCAGGTTGATAGAGCCAAAGTCCTGCCAAAGATTGCACAAAGATTTCACAAAGTGACCATGAAAAGCCGGCGTCTCTGTTACGGGTCACGGCACACGTGCTCCGTCTTGCTCGGGCTACAAGGCTGCGTAGGTCATGCTGGCACTTGTTGTCTCCAGGGATTACCCATAAAGTAGTGCCAACTGCTTGACGACAAGTTTTCCACCTGCTTTGTGGCTGGAATGTTCTGTTCACTGTCGTGTTCTCAGTGGGGACCACCTGAATTTGGTGTTTCAAGGCAAGATCAGCTATTGCTGGGTCTAAAATCAGCATTTCAGAGTACGGTCACCATTGCTGACCTACTCAAGGTTGAGAAATGTGGAGAGGTAATCACATACTTTCTCCCTCTTCTTTCCTGGGTGTTATTCCTCCTCTGTACGTGCGAAGTGCAGTCTTTCTTCATCCCAACAACCAGTCCAAACTGATCCTTTCTCCTTTTCTTTCCTTCTTTATGCTTCCTTAGCTCCCCGGGTGAAATGGGAAGTCTACTTCAGGCTTATTAGAAACCTTTGCCTAATTGCTTTGGCACCTTAACATCCAAACTTACTTTTCAGTATCAAGGGGACAGAGACAGCAAGAAAAGGATACCCAGGACTCTCTAGCAAGTGTGCAAGAGGCTGAAATACCTGTCCTACAGTAGGAAGCCTCAGGAATGGGAAATATTTTGTTTCGTGCTGAAATAAGAGGGACTTTTTAGGCTTTCCCTGTTAGGACAGCAACAATTGCTGCTGTTCCCTACTAGCTGTTGTGGAGTGTGGGGATGAATACCCAAGAACAGAGGTTCTGTCCTTGCCTCCTCAAGCAGTTTTTCCATGCTAAATGATGTCACTTACGAAGTTTGTGTTGCGTCTTGTTCACGGTTACAGTCATCCTGTCTTTCCTTCCATTGATACTCTTGTTGCCAAAGTTAATTTAGAACCAAATTATAAGCTTTTCACCTCAAATTCTGAAATATGTCGACTGTAGTGTTCTGTGTAAATGCTACTGGTAGTGTTAGTGAATGTGGAAAACCAGCAAAGCCTGTAAATCCAAATAAAGTCAGAACATCTTATGTCTTCTTTAAAGCACAGTGTTCACCTTTGCTTTTATGCTGCTTGGAGTGTAATATGTGCCTCCAGAAACTTGGAAGCTAACGCTGCAAGCGAGTACAGAACAATACAAGTCTCTGCAGAAATGTTGCTCTGATAACATTGCTTTTTTGGCCTACATTTCTCGGTGGTTATTATTTGTTAATTATGTTATATAGTGCTCACATGTGGGCTAATTGCTTCCCCAGAGAGCTTACAATAAAATGATGGACAGAACAAGGGCAGGATGTTACACACAGCAGATAGTAAAAGGGTAAGGTAGGACACGGGCAATAGTGTTAAACGCATCGGTGTTTGAAAACGGGGTAGCGTTGTGAAGCATGGCGTGGAAGAGTTGGGTTGGTTTGTAGGGGGAGAGGAGGAGTGCTAATTTGAATTGATCTGAGGAGATGACTTGTCGGAACAGTTGTGCAAGGAAGCGCCAAAACTAAAGGCAGCAGTGGAGGAAAAAATGCAGAATTTCATGAAAGAAATGCAGGGAGATTGTGTCTGGCTTGGTTATAGTTGCAGGGCTGCGCTGTCTGAATTCCCGAAAACAAGAATAAGATCCCTATAAACTGTGGGTACGCCGCATGGGTGTGATTCCTTGAAAAATAAAACCATTTCCCCAGACAAACTGTTTTCTTCAGGGTCATATAGACAGGGGAGATGAGAACAATGTGCATACGCATCCCTGCAGTTGTTTTTCAGATTTCAGTTCTCGTTCTTGCTGCCGGTCTTGTTTTTCAGCATCTGTCTTCTAGTCTGCACGCGTTCAAGCAGGAGGGCTCTGCTTGTATTTATGGTCGATGCTGTTTCAATTTGTACTGTTCTGATTCATTTTCCTGTGCAGCGAATACTGCTTCACACCTGCTCCGAAGGAACCGAGTCGTGATGGCAGGCGCTCTTAACAAAGAAGTGACTAAAAAGTGACACAAGGTATTTCTCAGCAGCTCCTCGGCCACTGCTTGTGCTGAAAAACAGGAAATGTCTGTGCCCTCGCGCAGAGGTCTGACTTGCTTTTGATACGTGGCCCGGCTCTCTAGCATATTACCCTCTCGGAGCAAAGAAGCGGAAGAGTTTCAAGTGTGTGTTTTCCTTTTGAGAAGCATTTTCCAAGGGGAAGGGGAAAGGAGCGAAGGTTTGGCCGTTCAAATGATCGGCTTCGAATTCTCCTCGAAGCACTTTATTTACACACAGATAGGCTTTTCTACATTTATTATTAGAAAAGGGATGGAAGTGAAGTTGTAGGTAGGTAGGTAGGTGTGTTACTTTCAGATTTCAAAGTACACGTAGTTTCCTTCGCCAGAAGCCACGCTGGGTTGCTGACTGTGTTTGCTCTCAGAATTGCTGCCAGAACTCCTTTCTCTCCTCTGGGTACTTGCGGTGGTTTTTGTTGCATCCTTTCTCTCAGTGGCTTGTCTCAGCATCTTAAGTCTTCAGAGCCCTTGTTGATACCTTTGCTTGTATTCACAATTTGGCTGGCCCAGCCCACTTGTTACTTCTCATGTCGTCCGTTTACTTTCTTCTCTGTTTGTGGTGTCCAGGAAGAAATCCTGAACTCAAGAACCAAGAAGGGTTTGGTCCTTTGAATCCTGATGGGAAAGGATTAACAGCAGCTGCCTGTTCCACACACATTATAAAGGGATAACGAAAAGTGCCCAGGGCGTGACATGACAGTAGTGAACTCCTACGTGAAGGAGACTTGAATTGCTTCTGAACGTGCCTTGTACCCCTGCCAGGTGGACAATACCTTCCCTTCTGGGATGACTGTCCTGGACGTTTGAAAGCATTGACGTTTAAAGTATGGGTACATGACGAAAAGACCAGTCTGCACGGGTTAGACTGTAGTCCTGCCCACTGCTTTAAAATATTCTATTGGGGAGTCTCTCGATGATTTGATTGTATACAGGTATATCGCAGAACAGCCAAAAGTTGTGTCTGTTCTCTGTTCAGTGTCGTGGCCACGTAGCAGCCAGGTGAGTGGAACAGCGGGGTTATTTCGGTACTTGCATGGTGCCTTGCATGTCTGTGATACCTCTTTGAAGGATCTCAAAGCACTTTACAAACACTTAACGAAACTCTTAGCTCTGCTGCGAGTTTCATATAGTTGATAAGGCGTGTTTTGTGCTTTGATAGCCTGTGCCAGAGCTGGAGGGAATGACTCCTTCTCCGGGGTTTCCCACCAGCTGGGAAGAGAACTTGGGAAACGTGACCTTCCCAGTCCTGTGCTCGCTTTGCCGGACGATACTTCCTCTGTTATTCAAGGTGAGAACAGAACGGTTAGAATTGATTTAGGTGCTTCTGGGAAGATGAAGTCACTATGTTTGGACCTCCGTATCGTGCCAATGGAGAGATCCTAGGGGAAATCTCTTCCTTTAGTTTTGTTTGTATTCTATAACGCACAGATGTAATTTGCAAGGAAGAGCAAAGGAAAAGAGGTTTTGCTGGCCTCAGCAGTGTAGCTAGAGTGAAACGAGATGTCACAAGGATATCTAACTGCCTCTGAAGATATGAAAAGGATTTTTCTTCTCTGCAGTGTGCTGATTTTTTAACTCTTCCCCTGTGCGCCTTCAGTCTTCCGCACCTCTTGTGCGTCACCTCACTCTGCGTATTCTCCCTTAGCCTTTCACAGGCTGCCTCCTGCTCGTGGATTTTACTCGCTGCCTTTGTTTGCTAAAATCTAAATGAATGCTTTTTTTTCCTGAAAAGTGTAAGAACAGTAGGAGGAAGTTTGTGTGCTCTGTGCGACACGGTATCAGGGATCCCAAGCTGACATTATAAATACAGGTGTTGTAACTGCTGGTATGATAACTGTTAGTACTGTAGGACTGACCAGGATCTGATAATGACAGCTGGAATGAATCCCCATGGCTATCGTTGTAATCAAGTCTCTGGCCAAAATTTAATCTGTTGCACTTTTGCAACCCTGTTGCTTCCTGTTACGCTGTTGTTTTCAGGCTGAAGGCAAAACCCGGCTGAGTATTAACAGCTTATTGTACGGCTCCCGTTTCATTGATGGAAACAGGCTGGGATCCAGTACATCCTACGACAGCAAAAATGTATTGTTTATATGACAAGCAAATGGTATTTTGGATACCTGGAGATTACATTCAGTAAGAGAGATGGTGGCTTTCTATTTTAGCAGTAGTAATGTGTAAATTACGAGAATAAATGAAAATGCTAAAATTCGCCGCTTGCTGAGGGATGAGCTTTTGGCAAAAATATAAGATAGAATTACAAGACAGCCTGGGAGAATTTGAGCACAGTTTTAATAGAAACGCATCGCTGCGGAATTTAAACCTGAAATAAAAAATTGAGTCAGCAGATACAGTGTAAATGTACTTGAAAACCAAGCTCCTATGGATTTATACAGTGGAACAAAACGGGTACTGTCATGTGGCAATAAAACCTCCTCACTAGGATACGATGCTGCATCCCAACACGTACCCAGAAAGAATGTGGAACCTCTGTCCTTGGAGGTTTCCGTGGCTCCTCTACAAAAAGCCGACCAGGTCCAGCATGGGTGACGGTCCTGCTCCAGGCCGGCGGCTGGACTAAAGACCTCCAGAGGTCACTGCCAGTCAATGAGGCTGTGAATAACCCCCAAATTACTCTAAGCAGAGATTTACGGCAACAACATTCCTTCAAATTTTTGATTGCAAGAGGAGCGGTCTGACTGCTCTTTCCTTTGTAGTTGCACTGTAGCAAAAAATGGATCTTCGTAAGTCCATGGAGAAAATGGTTGGATGTTTTAAAAAACGTCTTTCCCTGCCCGCTTCCCATTAGTTTCTTCCTAACCTCTCTCCTTGTCCTTGCTGGATAAGAGACAGAGCTGATAGTTCATGTGGAGTATCATAGTTAATATCCAACTGCAAGATAGCAGCTGATTTTTCAGTGTATTCTAGCACAGAATTTATTTTAATGGAGTCAAACAGGAAAGTGCTTCTCTATAGTAATTGGAATTTGTCCTTTTTAAAAGCGCTATCATGTCTACAGCCTGGCCAGGTATTAGACATTCAGGATTTTCATTCCATTTCCCGTAAGTGGATTCCTTGCTATATTGGCACTCAGTATAAATAGTAATAAAATTAAACCTCGCTGTGGTTATGTGAGGTATCCTGGTGATGAGAATACCTGGATCAACAAAAGAAGGAAATTGCAGGTGACCTGAATTTTTACCATTTCTTTCCAGGTTTAGTGTTCCTGCTTTTCATCTCTTTCGTTAAACCCTCTTTTATTTGACCAGGAGGTCAAATTGTATCCCTGTTGAAGTGTTTAAAGCATTACGGGGCTGCAAGTTGTTTCGAGAATCCAGATCTTCCATTTTCCATTCCAAGCAAGGATTAACTCTACCTAACGCTTTCCTGACAGTTGTCTGAGTTGCTTTCAGTGGCTGAGACTCCCAGTGGTTGTGGAGGCTTCACACCTATACTGGTAGATTTCTCCTGCTAGCAAAGTTGCGTGTTAGTAGTTTACATCTGCTGCTGCTTCTCCTCTTCCTCCTAAGCACAGGGGAAAATTGGCCCTTTTTCTCTTTTCGTCAGCCCTTCCTTTGTTGGAAGTCTGTTACCATTAATCACAGGATGGCAGGGGTCGGAAGGGACCTCTGGAGATCATCTAGTCCCAACCCCCTGCTAAAGCAGGGTCACCCAGAGCAGGTCACACAGGGCTGCACCCAGGCGGGTTTTGAGTATCTCCAGGGAAGGAGACTCCACAGCCTCCCTGGGCAGCCTGTTCCAGGGCTCTGCCACCCTTAATGTAAATAAGTTTTTCCTCATGTTCAAAGAGAACTTCCGGTGCTCCAGTTTGTGCCCATTGCCCCTTGTCATGTCACTGGGCACCACTGAGAAGAGCCTGGCCCCATCCTCTTGACACCTGCCCTTTAGATATTTAGAAGCATTGATAAGGTCCCCTCTCAGCCTTCTCTTCTCCAGCCTAAAGAGCCCCAGGTCTCTCAGCCTCTCCTTGTAGGAGAGATGCTCCAGTCCCCTCATCATCTTCGTAGCCCTCCGCTGGACTCTCTCCAGTAGTTCCCTGTCCCTCTTGAACTGGGGGGCCCAGAACTGGACACAGCACTCCAGGTGTGGCCTCACCAGGGCATATTCTTCATAAGAAGCTGTCTGCAGTACACCAATCTTAATCAGGTAAATTGAAAACATTAGAGCCTCCTGGGTACCTATTCTTACGCCAGAATTGACTTCAGAACTGATGGTGCGTGGCCTTATTTATGCATGTATTTATTTTAATCCTGCTTAAACTCGTCATGCCACAAGTCTTTATTCACTCTCTTGCCTGTTTGATCCCAGTCCAAATGTTTATGCTTATACTTAACTTTAAGTTGTCAACTCCTTAAAGCAAGACTCTGTCATCCTTAATGTCTGCAAAGCTCCGCAGTGTCTCTTCATGAATGATCTGCTGTGCTTCTCTCCGTTACAGGTAGACCTGGGTTAGAAAGATACAGGGGTGCCCTCGGTTCTTGCCCGTCAAGTTTCGTGCGCTGCGTGGGGGTCGTACTAACGCACTTCTGCAGCGAGGATCTGAAGTGGCAGGAACAGGACTGGATTATATTAATCTTATTGTTACGGTTTCTCAACAAGTAGCTAATCACTGTGATTCAGCCAGACTGCAGAAAGGGGTCGTTGCGTTTTAAAGCTGTGAGTGGTCGTGTGGTTGCCTTGTAGCTCGGGCTAGAGGTTTAACCTCTGCTCACTTCATCTATCCAACTTTCTGTAATTTAAGTGAAAATCTACTGAAATGATAGTTTAGCTTTGTTCCGCCTTTATGCTCGCCCCTTCTGTACTTTGCCTTTTGTGTCGTTTTTGAGAATTTGAGCTAACAAAATTGTTTGTGAATTCATCCCCCCACATTTGCAAGGGAGGACGCAAAGGCCTGTGAAATTACTCGACATAAGTAATTGTAGTTCGTATGTGGCAAATCTGAGACCGTGTAGTAGATTTTTTGATTCCTCTGTTCTAAGCTTTTAAGGGCTAAGGAAGAAACACTTGCAGTCTGAAGCGAAGGGAAACTTTGCTGAATTAATCCAAGCTGCTTATGTACTGGCACCCTTTGTGGATTGGTTGTATCTCCCTTATCCTCCTAAGAGTAACGTGTGGATGCAGTTTTTCTTTTCAGTTTTTAAGTCTTCAACCTGAGGTCTTAAATCTCCAAAGATACTTGGGTTTCAAACTCATTTGACGTCCTGAGGTGTCTAAATGCCTTTCCACTTCGGGCTTCTACTGTTGCCAGACTGTTTTCGCGATGTGATGTGAATTGTTTAGATATTTGACCATGATCCCCTATTTTTTTACTCGACAAATAACTGTGGCTCAAAGGTGGCCTTAGAGGTGCAATCCTGATCCTGCAGGACTCGAGGGAACCAGGATTTCGCTCTGTAAGTTTAGTGTATAACTTAATGATTAAATCAGCATTGTGTGTCTCAAGTGAAGAAGGCAGGCAGAAAAAAAACAACACAACGGTGGTACTTAGAGTGCTTTATGTGCTTCAAATTATTTTCCATACATTTAACTAATTACATAAACAGATGATATTTACAGAGGACTTCTGGCTATAATTGACCTTCATCTTTTCCTGTACACTTCACAGCCTCTCCTTGAGTTTTTCTATTGTTTCCTCTCAAACCACTCCACATTTAACACCATGTTTCAGGCAGTCCTTTTCTCTTGCTTGGGACCGTCCTACCAATTCCCTAGAGGCCAGCATTCCCAATTCCTTTTAACTTCCATCTTCTCAGCCCGATTTTGTTGGCAGTTTTGGAGCTGATGGTGTGGACAAACATGCCTTCTCCAAAGCCCCATCTTCAGGCCTCCCACCAGTCAGAGCACAAGTGCTCCTTTCCTTTTACATGATCGTCAGTTCTTTGGAGCAGAAGTGTTTCTTTCTCTCTTTTGTCTTGTGGAATAAGTTGCTTTTCAGAAGTTGCAGCATTAAAATATGATATCTTATTTTTCCTTGACACTTTTATATGCGTGTGTTGGGGCAAGCAGGTGAGGAGTTGCATAATCTGTGAGTCTTCTGTCGAGAGGTTAGAGAAAACCCATGTTTAGAGTTAAATGTTGTTCCTATGGCTACTAGGACAGGCACATCACGGGAGGGGGAACGCTTCTGGCATTTAACAGCCCTTCCAGGTGATTTATGGTTTCACATAAGCTTTTCCTAAACCGAGAGGTTTTCTAGGGTTGGCACCTCTTCGCTTGTCTCCATGCCCCGTTGGTTCTGTGTTCAGTGGCCCATGGTTATTAAAATTCTTATCAATAAAGGAGTTTCTGAGCAAGGTTCTTTTCTGGGATCGTGCATACCTTCTGAACTCCTCAGCTTAACCAAAGGAACGTTTTTTTTTTCATGCCTAATGTACTTTATAAAAGAAATGTGTAGAGTTCAAGTAATATTTGCCTTCAATTACAGTAATTAAGTTGTCAGGACTTGAAGTCACCAAGGGAATGAGAAAATCCTTTCCTGGTTGGCCAGGGGGTAATCGGTGTTCTGGTCGCAAGTACGTTTTACATATTGGGGTGGGGAGGGAGACTGTTCTGGCAGGCATCTGCAGCAGAAAACCCGGGAGACTGTTTGTCATTTTGCAATACGAGGTGTCAAAATCCTGCTGTGGGTAGAAGGAAAAGGAAAAGAAAGTGACCTGTTTAACTCTGCTTTAGCAGGGCATCTATTTTTGAGCCGCACTAACGCTGCCTGCTTGGGTTGGGAGGTGTATCTCGTTAAAAAGAGAGCGACTACAAACGTAGCTCGATCCATTTATTCCGTGGATTCTGTCTGGTCAAACTTGTACTGCAGCTCCCCTTTGGAGTGGAACCTGTACGTGTAGCTGTGTGGAGATACAGGCGGGTTTTTCCCCCGTGTTCAACATCTCTGTGCAGACTTCTTTGCCAGAAGTCCAATAGTTCAGTTACTTCATAAACTTCCCTGAAGGTACACGACAAGGTATTCCTACAAGAAAAGTACCTGATTTTTATAAGTGCCCACATGAACATGACTGGAATCTCAAGTGTAGCGTTACTTTCGTTCCACTGGAATAGTTCTCTTGAAAGCAGATGTATGAGGAAATCGCTACTCGTAATGCATCACTAATGACACAAATTTTTGCCTTCCTGCTCGTGTAAGTAAAGGTTACGGATGCATAAGGACTCAGACCTGCAAAACCTTACTCACGAGCCCTGATAAACCCCACTTCAGCTAGCAAGTTTAACGATGCCCTGAAGAGAGCCAGATCACTTATCTGCACCATCATGCAATAACTATAAAGTGTTGCGATAAGTGGTTTTATATCTCCCAGTTTGCTACTGGCCTTCACCCTCTGTATTGTTTTATTCCAGTGAAAGTGGGCGTGAAATATTACTGCTCTGACTTGGTTGCATTTTATAGTCACTTCAGTTCACGTAGAAGGTGCATGGGCAGAGTGGGTGCTCTTATCTACCTATGCATTTATGAAGAAAAAAGTAGTGAATATCTCTGTCACACCACATTTGACTGTAACAGCTGTGGATTACCTCCCGTTCAAGAGGCGTGTGGTAGGCCAGATGTTGGTAAGGTTTCTACACAATTCTTACCCGCTCAGCTTTTCCCGTCGAGGGAGGTGTGCGTCCTTACCTGCAGTTCGTACGAGGCTTCACAGAAAACCAGTGTAAAATTTGGGACGTTTCCAAAAGCCCTTTGTGATATTTGCCACGCAAAAGGGTGTGCCACAAAGGGTTATTTTTGTGTGCTTCAGTGTCCATGTCAACAAATCTGAATTTCAGCTGCCTTTTTGGCTTGTTTAGTTTGTAAGTCACAGATAATTTAACAAGTTGCCTATTTCCATCTTGTTGCGTTTGTTGCTTTCTCAGAGTCAGTTCTCTTCGTGCCATACGTAACATCCAGCTCCAGAGCTATTTGGAGTTTTTGCTTTTTGTGTTATATTTACTTTGCTTGTTGTGTTATATTTACTTTCTAGCTACTAGGCGGTTTTTATACTCACCTGCAGCTAGAGTTCAGCAGCTATTTATTTTGTGTGTGCAGAAGCCTTGTAAGATCTAACCTGTGATGTTGTTTTTGCCATCTGATAACGTATGATCAAATGGAGCATGTTTAAATAACAACATCTAGGACACAATGACAGTAAACCAGCTACGAAACAAACATTTCTAAAGACCAGGTGAGATGGAGGAGATGCCTCAACGCTGGATTGCTCCGTATACCGATAGGTTCTTGCACTTTGCCATAGAGGGATTCCAGGCGTGGGATTTCCTTTATGCCACGGGCTAATAGATTGTACTGCACTACTTTTCATGTTGGTTTGTATCTTGTAGAGGCTTGTGCCTTTGTGAAGTGAGTGTGATGCACTGAGTATGGTAGTATTATACATAATCCCCAAGAGTTGTGCAGGAGTAGGTAAACATTAAGAAATTCAAAGCAACAGAGAATTGACTTGTTCTGTATTCTCTTGCTGCCTCCCGTAGCGCCACCTCTTCTCCCTAAACCTACGTGATCTTGTGCATTAAGGGCTGCCTCCCCCTTCTGCCCAAGTCTATACTTTCACAATTAATTTTCAAAGCACCGTATTGGGTTTTAATATTTTTTTATTAGTGTGCAAAAAAAAACCCCACGTTATGTTTAAAGCCGTTGTTTCTGACTCTCACTCCTGCTCCTCTTTGTTCACCTGCAGGAGGATATTACCCATCCCCAGTCCCAGGAGGAGAAGCAGAGAAACTGCTGGCTCCCTGAGCCCGCAGATGGTTACAATACAGTGAAGAGCGCTCTCACTGTACAGGAATATTTCGCCAAGCGCATGGCGAAACTGAAGGGACCCCAGAACGAAACGGAAACAAAGGTAGATGATTCCTGCCCGACAGCTGACGAAGTTTTGGAGCCTTCAGAAGAACTGAGAACCAAAGTCAAAAAGAAAAAGAAGAAGCAGAAGAGAGCTGAGGCAGAGAGGACAGAGCATTGCGAGAAACCAGAAGCGAAACAATCTAAGATAGGTGGCTTGAATGGAAAGGAACTGGATGCTCCGTTAAGTGAATCTCACTCAGGGAAAAAGAAAAGGAAACATAAAGAGCAGCAGGAGGGGGAAGGGATTAGTTGTGATGAAAATACGGGCTATGGAGGAATTTATACGGGAATATCTGAGGGGGAAGATCTCGGTGTAAGGGACTATGAGGCAAAGCAAAAGAAACGCCATAAGAAGCAACACAAAAGGCAAGAAGAGGAGACAGAGGAGCGTATCGAAGGAGCGCAGAGAAAGAAAAAGAAGCACTGCAAGCACGTTTAACCATGTAGGAGTCAAGCTGGCAGTCTGAGGGGGTGTGAACTTTAGGATATTAGAGGAGAAGTCTGTGTAAACCCACCAGCCAGACATCACGTATTCATCCAGGCTTGAGCACACTGCTCTACCTCCAACTGAAACCACAGACTGTGTTTAAATATAGCTCTTTCGAGGGAGAACGTGGTGACACGGCCCAACATGAGCTTCGGGGCCGTGTTCAAAAGGTAGGGCCAAGGCTTGCATGTCTGCAAAGCAAGGCTTGACAGAAAACAGTTAGGCTTTGCCTCTTCCAGTGTGGCGGACGGTTCACCTTTGTGGCTTTGAGCTCAGCAGACCCTGCGCTGCCTCCGGCCCAGGTTCACGCTGGTGCAACCCCGTTCGAGTCAGATAACAGCAAGCGAAATCAGGCCTGGTTTTAACCAATGTGGTTAAAACCTATCTGCTGCTTCACCCTGACTGTGTTTTTCTCAATCCAGGAAAAAAAAAAGAAGTCACCCTACTGCTGCCTTTATTATTGTTTTCACTTGTGATAGCCCAGCTCTGCTTCTGGAAACAGGAGGGGTTTTGCAAAGCTGTATGTATTTTTTTCACCGATTTTTGCAAAGTTGTGTCTAATTTTTTCATTGATCTCTTTTTTAACATATGAAATGAATGTTGTTTCCTCACAAAATACTTACTCTAATAAAAGGTTTACACCTGAGTGCCAGTGCCAAAGAATGAAATAAAAATACCACCCTTTGTTTCCGAGCCAGTTGTTAACTATTGTCAAGCAGTTGTAACTTTGCAGCAAAGCCAAAGGAGCTGTGCCTTTATTAACCATATCTAAACCTTTGGTTCCCAGGCAACATTCAGGGTACCTTCGGTGATGCATCTGGCATTCAAAAAAGTTGTCTTGGATAGAGCAAGGGTTTTTTCCTGAAATTAGGCGACCAAATAGATTTTAAAAGCCTGCCTGGTCAGATGCAGTAGTATTGCCACTCACACGCTGAAAACTTGCAGTTTAGATTTTCGACCAAATCAGAGCCTGTTTCTAATTGTAAACCTGGAAATAAGTAATGCTGGAACTCAGCACTACCGTAAGCGGTTTTGTATGAGACCTTAAACGTTCAGCCTGAGTTTTGACATGTTAATCTCACTCAGCTAAGAGCCATCAGCAGAGATGGGTGAGCTTCGAAGTAAAGCGGTGGAAGGGGAAGAAGCGTTCACCGCCTTGGAGTCTGGTTCCGATCTTGCTTTGGCCACAGCAAAGTGGCAGCACCACCCTGAAAGCCAGCCAGTGACCCTGGTGTAATCCAGAGTAGCTGACCTGAATTCAGATCCATTAGCTGTTCGTTTGACTTGGGGCTTGGCCTCAGTGTAAATCTAAAACATCCCATTGCCCTGCTCTGCTGAATAAAATGGGTACGTTTTTTTTCATTGTCTTAGCTCGGGTGAGTTGCTTAACGTGGCTTGAAAAGCGGCATCAAGATGCAGATGTTAATATGAAAATATTTCCTTAAGCTGCCTTTATTGGCCGGTGGAAGAAACTCAGCCTGCAGCACACAGTCCACATGGCTTCAGATGTTTCAGTCGCAGCTGAACCCTTTCTTTTTAAGATACCTGGGTTTGCAGCGCACCTTTCTTGCCCTCAGGACATGCTCATTCATTGCAGCAAAATTACTGCAGTTGTACTTATTGTAAGGGAGAACAAGATGCCTTTCTCTGTGTTTCTCGGTGGCCTGCCAGTAGTTTTTAACCCTTCTAGCGTTTGCTTCTCCATGCTATGGAAGTGTTTATTAGCCATTATGATGCTGCTGTCGCTGGGCTGGTGCCCTGCCTTCCTTAAATGAAATACCACTTCGTACCAGGAGGTTGCTGCAGAATTGCGAGGAAGCTCCGTCCTTGAGGTGAAAAAAATAATCTTCTCGATGGAAGAAGGCAGCAAAATAATGTGTCACGTTACGTTTAAGCATCTGAAGTTTTGTGGGTCCCCTGCAAAGCAGCCCTTCTAGTTTCTTCATCACCACAAGTTTGGGGTTTTGGTAGTGGAAGCCAAAAGCCTGTTTCCAATGGCTTTTTTTTTTTTTTTAACTCTTAAGCAGCCAAACTTAACAGTCTCTCTGGGGTTTCAATTTAAAAAAGGTGCTAGTGAAGGAATGAGGTTTCCTTCTCCAGATACTGCTGGGTTTGTTTGTTTGTTCTCTGAGTTTCTGCGTTCTAATTCTTACGAGTTTTTGGCCAGATTCCAGCGTTAGTTATAGAAAGAGTAAAACCAGGAAAAAAATTTTAGATTTATGATGTTCCTACAGTTAAATACAGTATTGCAAAGATTATAATCCGGCCGAGATTGGAGTATCAGCTGCAATATCAGCGCAAAGAGAAGATTCTCTATTTGTACAAGAAGTGGGAATTTTACTTTATCCCAGGAAATGTGGGATTTTAACGTGCCTTGAGCTCAAAGCAAAATGGCATGTGCAGAATAGGGGTTGTAGGGGGAAAAAAAAAGGACAGACTGATACTGGAAACAAGCACTTCGCTTAGCTGCCCGGCTCTGTGTGCGTTAGTGGTCAGCCAGCTTCGCGTGACTCGACAGAACGCTCTTCGTACCAGATGCTGTCGAGTGAAATGGATGATTGAAACAACGGGAACGTGTTTCGAAGCAATAAATTTTTTTTTTTTTTTTTGCTTGTTTGTTTATAGTGGGTTGTGAGTCCAGTTTCAACCAAACTCTGGTTTGGCAAGAAGGGCTTTTTTAGAAAGCAGCAGACAAAGAATGACATCATTACCCAAATGGTGAAATTAGCAGAATGTAAGCGCAGAGAAATACTTGGTTTCGTGTCTTTCTGTGAATATAAGGCTTTTAAACAGCAGAGCCTTTTGTTACGTATTTGTCCATTGTACTCACACACTGCGGCACAGAATTACGTGCCTCCAAGTGAAATTACCTAGAAACTAAGCAAAAAAAGGAGTCGCCGCTCTGCTTTCACTTCCAGGTCGAGCTCGATTGCGCGCACAGCGTAGATACTGAAATGTTTGCAGTTTCAGTAATCCCAGGTCACCAGTGACATAGAGGAAAATGTTCCTTCTCGCGTCGGGAGCCTCGGGCAGGTGATGGTTTCTCGTGAGTTACTTCCATTCTTCGCAGGTACAGCGGTGTTCTTCGCTTTGAGCCTTGAAGTCAACTGTCGGTGCAAAGGCTGCTGCGTGCCAGGCTACGTGATTTGCAAGTGCAATTTTGGGACCAGCCATATATATATATCTCTATGTGCCGACTTTTCTGCTTGTAAATAAGCACAAAACTATATCCTGGAAAGCAGAGGCCGTGGAAAAGTCTGTTACCAGCATCGGACCAAAGTCTGCCTGGGCTTTATGGGCTTTGACTGCCCCGACCGCGCTGTGCCCGACTCCGCAGAGCTTTCCTCGGAGCCAAGGACGGGCGACTGCGCCGCTGCACGCTGCGTGACACCCCAGGCGTGTGGAACGGGCGGCGTTCCTCGGATTTCCTTCCAAGGCGTGCCAGCTCTAGTGCTCTCCCCACAACCGGCGTGAAGCAGAAGTCGCAGCCAGGGTTCGTTTGTAGCTTTTAAGTACAAGTTTCAAGGCATCCCGTTAAGATTCCAGAGCTGCCCGTCCTTCCGTCTGTGTGGCTTTCAGTCCGGTAGACGGTACCTGAGGCGCAGCTGCTTCGTGAAATTTAA